TGATTTTCTTTTAAAGAGTTTTTCTTTTCCTTAAGAATTACTTTATTTAACTTTATTCATTCATTTACTTATTTTAATTTGACTAGAGAGGAACAGAGCCAGAAAGAGAAAAGGAGAGAAAGAGAGAAGGCAAACTGCCAGGTCTGGGACTCGAACCATGGTCGGCCATATGGGAGTCCAGTGCCCTTAACCACCACTCCATCTGCTGGCCCAGTGGTGTGATTTTTCAAGTTGTTGGGCCTGGGACTTGAATTCCTGTTGACCATGTGGGAGTCCAGTGCCTTCTACTGGCCCCCAGAAAAAGTTAATTTTATTAATACTCATCATCAATGCAGAATGGTGTTTGAAATAACTTCCTTCCCTCAGTTAGACAACGGAGACTTAGTTTTTTTTATACACAGCAAAGAATCCTTATTGTCCAGAGATTGCTTTCCTATACATCGTGTGTATAGCAACCAATTGCTAAATCTATTGAGATATCTAGTATTTAATTTACCTTACTTTTGATTTTTAAAAAATGACACAAGGATTTGCTTGGCAGATTACTGAATTGTGAACAAGTATGGGGTGAAGACCTTCTGTCCTAATTTTGTGAACTGTAATTTCAATTGATGGAGAGAGTTACATTTGTCACCCTCCCAGAAACCCTGCTTGGGACTTTTTTGTCTAGAAGCATGCTCTAGTCTGCATCCGTATAGTGTGAGGCCAGGAAGGGAGGGTCCAGCCTGCAGGAGGACTGAGATGGATTTAATGGACTTGAGGAAACACGTCTCATATATGGGACCTTTCATGCTTGTAAGTATAAATATTAGTATTTCAATGCTTTGCATCCTTAAGAACTTATTTAAAACAGAAAGATAAACTAATCATAAAACACTCCTTACTTAACTTTTATTTAGAAATATTTTTGAAAACACAATCACTACCTACTTATAAAAAAAGCCATGTAAAAAGTGAACTATTTAATCAATCATTCATCTTTAGTCTGTATTTCTTCTTTTTTTTTTTTTGAGAGTTTTTTTGCTATAGGGCGTGTGTGCTCACCAGAAAGACAGAGAGAGACAGAGATAGAAAGCGAGAAATCACCCCCCAGGGGGGATAGCCACGCCACAATCCCTTCTCCTTCATTCTCCTTTCGGGATCTTGGGCATGCACGCACATGCGCCCATGAGTTTAAGCCAGTGGGTCTGGGACTCGAACCGTGATCGGCTACATGGGAGTTTAGCGACATAGCCATTATGCTAACTGCTGGTCCCTGTCTGTATTTATTCTGTAAGATGTACTAGACACTGTGGTGGACATCAGGTAGCCCCAAATTAGACCATTTCCACCCTTCAAGGAGCCTGCAATCTGGTGGAATACAGATGTATGCAAACATCCGAAGTGCAAGGCATGGTATAAGAAGAGGTCAAAGGCCAAAAGCCATGGTAACAAAGGATGAAATGATTGCTATTAGAAGACTGGGGGGATGACATTTGAATGGATTTTCCCAGGCATAGAGAACAGAGACTTGGTGTGGGGAAAACTCTTCTGGGGGAAAGTGGAACCAGGCGCGAAGACGTGTTGAGGAAACCACATGTAGTCTACAGTACTGGCACCACTGCCTGGGTATGGGGTGAGAGGAAGAAAGGGAGCGAGAAAGAGAGAGAGGGAGGAAATAAAGTCAGAAACTCAAGTGGGGATGATAGATATTGAAAGCCGTGAGCGCCAGGCTAAAGGTCATGAATTTTATTCTCTATAAGCTAATGATGCCATTGAAGGATTTTTTGGGATGGGAGAGACAAGAGCAACTTTGCATTTTCCAAAGGAACTGGTAAGAATACGCAGGGCGAACTGGAGAAGGAGACAAATGTCTAAGTGTGAGGTTATGAAATATTGCCTAGAGACAATGGTAGGCAAAACAAAAAGTGGTAGATCTTGAAGGCATAAAGTCAGCAAGACCAGTGATGAAATGGATGCTATTTAGAAATACCAGACTAGGCCCAGTGGTGGCACAGCAGCAAAGTGATCTGCAGCTGGAAGCTGAGTGGTCAGCCCAGAGGTCAGATGCCTCCTGGGTGGGCCTGAAAACACGCTGGACTCATGGGCACGGGAGCAAGTGCCTGAAAAACTGGAGGTCTGGGGAAGGGGGTGATGGCATGGCAATATTCTGTTGAGGGTCTCTTCCTCTCTTGTACATGTGAAAAAATAAAAGCTTAAAATAAGTGAAATGTTGTGGATGTGTGGACTTCAGAAAGCAGGCACTGGAAGTAGAAGGGCCTGGCATTAAATCCTATCCCAACGCTTATGCTCCCCGGAAGGTTAATAAACCTTTGGTACCTTGTTCTCCTCATCTGCTAAAGGGGATGTGACCACTACTAGAATTATTGTGAGATTTAAGTGAGGGCGTAAGGGCTTAGAAGAATGCATGTCAAGTAAAAGAATATAACACATATTATTCAACCTGATTCATAACGTTTAAAAATAACATAAAACATACACAGTGAAAAAATAATTCCATTGCTTCATAAAACACTAAATTTTTTTGTGTGTAATAACTTTTGGTCTTTTTCCAAATGATTTTCAGTATCCTTACAATTTTAGTGGACATATTTTCAATGAAGTGTTCACTAAGTTATAAAAGTTCAAGTGCATATGCATTTATTTATTCAATAAGAAGCTATTAAGTACATGGCTTTGGGGATATAAAACTGTTTAGTTTTATTACACTCCTGGAGATAAACCAATTGAAGAGAAAAGGCATACCCAAATGAAATAATCACATCTGGTCATGAACTGTTACTGAACCAAGTGTCAAAATAAGTGACACAAGCGAGACCAGTAGTTGGCGTAATGTCTATGTCGCTGAACTCCCATGTAGTCCACCGCGGTTCGAGTCCCAGACCTGGGGGCCTAAACTCATGTCGGGAGCATGCGTTTGCGTGCCCAAGATCCTGAGAGGAGAATGGCGTGGCCATCTCCCCAGGGCGGGTGGTTTCTTACTTTCTGTCTCTCTGTCTCTGACTTTCTGGTGAGCTCATGCACCCTATAGCAAAAACCTCTCCAGAAAAAAAGTGACACAAGCTAGTTATGAGTTAGAAATTCAAGGTAGAATGGGCTTCCCAAATAACAATTATTATTATAGCAAATACATTTATGAATAGCATCTGTAGTTCAACTCCAGAACATAAGTACTGCTTTAAAATAAAGGTCTATAACATCAATAACTCAAATTTCAAAAATATGATAAAGTATATTGACATGTTGCATAGTAACAGCAAAATATTTATTTTACAAATCCCTTGAAGGATGTTTTTGTGATAAAATTATTTCTTTAAGATTTAATATAAATGTGGGACCAGCAGTTAGTGTAATGGCTATGTCGCTGAACTCCCATGTAGTCGACCATGGTTCGAGTCCTGGACTCGGTGGCTTAAACTCACGCCGGGTGCGTGTGCGTGCTTGCCCAAGGGCCTGAGATGAGAATGGAGGAGAAGGGATTGCAGCGTGGCCATCCCCCCGGGGGGTGATTTTTCGCTTTTCGTCTCTCTGACTTTCTGGCGAGCGCACACACCCTATAGCAAAAACCTCTCAAAAAAAAAAAAAGATTTAATATAAATGTGATTTTTTTTTTAGTATTCAAACGCTTATTTCATTTAAAATAAACAAATGAAAACTATACTGCAGATACTAAAAATATTTCTTTGTGGAGATAATGGAAACTGTTTTCTTTAGTATATCTATAAAAGGAATAGCTTGGCCTGGATCTCTGAAGTATTTTTCTGCTTAATTTACTTAAGCACATTTTTAAGGGTATTTAAAATTTTATGTCTCATATAAAAACACATGTCAAATGTATTTATATGATTTTGAAAAATGTAAAACAAAGCTTGAAATGTTCCCTTGTATGCATTTATGTAATACATGTTTCAAAATATTTTTAAAAGGACATTGGCTTCTTTGTCTTATAGGCATATATAAAGAGAATAGAATTTAAAAGGTATTACCTTGTTCAAAATCTATATGAGTGATCAAATTATGAAGTGTACATTTATAAAATATGGTAGAAACAGTAGGAACAAGAGAAAGTATAATATTCTGAAAATAAAAGTAGAGCATTCTGAAAGTTTATGTCTTTAAATTAGGTTTAAAAGCTTTGTGGTGACTGAAATAACATTTTTCTATTAAGAAAAAGACTTGTGTTAGAAAAAAATCGAGTAGACCAAATAATGCTTTAGAATTAATTCTAGAAATTTACCGACAGGAGAGAAACCTTGAGGTTTCATTTTTACCCTTTTCCCCCCTAATTAGACAACAATCTGAAGAACACCAAGTAAGGAGAAAGCTCGACTGTACTAATTAAGTACTGTTTTCAGAGTTACTATGCTGAGCCGTTCCACTGGTCACCAGATAAACTAAATTATCTGGCACGTTTTCCTTGTCGTTTGAATTATAGATGGTGAACACTAAGCCAAGTTCCCTGCTTTGGAAAATAGTTGTTGAAAATGCCTGGAAACTCAGGGATACACATGAGTAATGTTTTCCCTGTCTGGGTTGATAGGAGCGGTTCTAACTTGACCAGCTCAGGTGTGCCCTGCGAACAGCGCCTGGCTGAAGTTTGCATCCAGACAAGCTCAGATGCGCGTCAAGCTCCAGGAAAGGTGGCAGTCCTCCCTCCCGCGTCCCTGGGACCCTCTCAGTTCCGCAGAGGGGAGACCGAGTGCAGAGGGTGCGCACACACTCCCCCAGCTTCTTTGAGCCCAGGGATCACGCAGGCAGCTGACCTCCCCTCGGAAAGCTGCTGGGGACATAGGGGCTGGGACTTGAGCTGACTTTGTTCCGCATCCCTCTAAATCCGGCCTTGCCAACTTGCTGTCGCCCCTCGCGTGGGAGCCTGAAGTCCAGGACCCACCAGCGCACTGTCTCGGTGGCCCTCCCCGGGGTCCTCCGGTCGCTCTCCCCTACCGGGATACCCACCGCGCCTCCCCCGACGCCCGCGTCTGGGAATGGAAGACACCTACCCTGGTGATGATCAAAGGCTGGTTGAAGTCTATGCCCCCCGAGAGTCGGAAGCCCCAGGGCGCAGGGCCCGGGAGGACCACGTTCTGGGGCATGGTACCTCCTGGTGCGGCCTTCCTCCGGCGGGGGTGCCTGGCTCCCTGCAAGTGCTGCGCAGCGAGGGGGGCCCTGCCCACCGCGAGTGTCCCCAGCAGCCCACTCCGCTCCCCGGCAGCGTCCTCACCCCGACCGAGGCGGGGGAGCTTTATCCCAACTCTGGAGTGACGTCATTGACCTCCCTCCTCCCCACTCCCTCCCACCTAGGAGAGCTCCAACTTTGGAAGTAAGAGCGCGCCAGACCCGCGGGACTTGAGGACGCGCACGGGCTGGGTGCAGCCTCCTGACCCCTCAGCGGCGGCTGCGGAGGAGGCTTCGGGTTACAACTTCCATCATGCTCTTAAAGTAACACCTGTCCCCGTCTTCCTTGGACTTGGAGCTTGGCGGTGCACTCTACTGAAAGCTAAAAGCAGTCAAACCACAGCCTCTTTACTTTCCGCTAAAATAAAGCACAGGCATCATCCAAACAACTAGTTACTTAGTAATTTGGGGGTGTGACTCCCGCCAAGTTGCTCTAACTTCTTAAGTCTCAGTTTCCATGTTGGTAAAATAGGGATAGTGGTGGTACCTACCTCTAGGTTCGCTGTGAGAATAAATGAGCTACTTTTGCGCGTGCGCTGCACAGTGAGTGCTCAATCAATAATAAGCTTTTCTGCATTTAAAAAATACGTACATATTTATATATACTTCTGGATATATACTATATACTTTGCTATGTACATAAATGTATCACACTTTATTTTTAAAAGTGAATAAATCTAAATGTGCAAATGTGCAAGTGTACACCGAATCCAGTGAAGCCTCCAGAAGTACGTATGAATGGATGGTTCATTCATGTTTTCAGAATATAAGAAATGACGAGTAGAGGGGTCATCACTTCCTTCAAATTCAGTCTCTTGACATATTGTGGACACACGGACGTGAGTGTCACAGTAACGGGGGTGGGGCTGCCGTGGGTGGACGCTGCTGCCAGGGAAGGCACCCAGAGGAGTGTGGATGAGGTGGACCAGGGGGCCCTGAGCCTTGTGGGACTTCATAGAGGAAGGGGAGGAGCATTCACGGAGCATCTCTGTGGTGCAGGCGTTATAGTGACGACTTAAGCAATATATGAGAGGGAAAGTAAGGAATTGCTCCCCTGGGGGGATGGCCATGTGACAATCTCTTCTCCTTCATTCTCCTCCTAGGATTCTGGGCACACATGCACAAGTGCCCGGTGTGATTTTCAAGCTGCCAGGTCCAGGATTTGAACTGTGATGGCTACATGGGAGTCTAGCACCTTAACCATCGCACCACCTGCTGGCCCCTATAGGGACAGTTTTGTGCTCGTGATCTTGTTTCACAGCCACGAGTCCAGCAGATTGCTGTTATTAATTCCATTTTTCTTTCTAGGTGAGGAAATAATTTCTTAGACATTAAATTACTTGCACAAGATCACACAACTATTGAATGGTAGGACTGAAACCGAAAACCCAGATCTGCCTTATCCAGTGTCTGCTGGTACAGGGGTAAAGGGCAGAAGAATCTGGTTAGGGTTCTGTTGCAGTCTCAGCGTGGAATCCGGTACTCCTGGTGTCATACCAGAATGTTCTGATTCCCCAGGAGAGGGGGAAGGTTGAAGAACAAGAAATAGGAGAACTTTAAAGACTCAAGGATGAGGACCTTGGGTCTCCTGCCCGATATTTAGAACCAGGGCCAGACAGTGGTGCAGTGGTAAAACACCTTGCTCTGCGAGGCCAGCCCACACGGACAGGTTCCTGGTTCATGCCTGGAGACTTCTCTGAGTATGCCCAGTACAAGCTACTGTGATCCTGGGCTGGTTGAAAGCTGGGGTTGGGTCGTGGTGCTGAGACTACACAGGAGGTTCTCTCTCTCTCTCTCAGAATAAATAAATGAATAAGATTAAAAATAAAATTTAAAAAAGAGCTATGTAAGTCCAGGAGAACAGAGCTGCAATGTTTTAATAGAGCAGTCTGTTTGGAAGCAATTTTAAGATTGATGGAGAAAGGAGAAAGGCAGTTCAGGGAGCCGTAAGCAAAGTGAACCAGCCTGGAGAAGTGTAGATCTGAAAATCGAGATGAATACTGCTTTGCCCATTGTGGTAGGTTACATGAAGATCCCAGGAGACGGTGTTTTTCTGTAATAGTTGCAGACATTTTCCAGTGCCCCAGCAATGTCGGGTTATCAGGGAAATAAGTGGTATTTCCTCTTGTGGACTGTGCCTGTGTGGGCCGGCTCTGTTATTGCAGAAACATCTCTCCTGTTGGTCACTGACCACTTCTGTGTGGTACAAGCACACACATATGCAAAGTCAATTAATGAAAAAACAAGTCGAACAAGTCATTGATGACATGAAAGTATAATATCTAAAGGTCTGTGTCTTATCTCATGAGCTGGCTTCAATAACCAGTGGGTTACTTAATTTTTTTTCTTTGCCATTTTACCAGTGATTTTGACATTATTTAGATGTAGGTAACACCATATAACATCAAACAGACATCACCCAAAAGTTCAGAGAAAACCCATATAATATCTAAAGGTCTGTGTCTTATCTCATGAGCTGGCTTCAATAACCAGTGGGTTACTTAATTTTTTTTCTTTGCCATTTTACCAGTGATTTTGACATTATTTAGATGTAGGTAACACCATATAACATCAAACAGACATCTCCCAAAAGTTCAGGGAAAATCCATACTACAAAAGAACTAGGTGGGGAGTTTCAAAAAAACCCTTTTTTTTTTTTGCACCAGAATAAATTCATACTGTAATTCACTTTCTATGAACTTTCGAAGCCTCTGATAATACCCGATGAGTTCTGAAGGCTTTGCAGAGAGTGTAGAAATCAAGAGTATGCAATGGGCAGGGTTCTTGTTTTTTTAGTTTTTGCTGTCGGGCGTGTATACTCACTGGAGAGAGCCAGAGAAAATAAGAAATCACCCTCCAGGGGGGATGGCCACACCTCAATCTCTTCTCCATTCCCCTCTCAGAATTCTGGGCATGCACACCCATGCGCCCCGTGTGAGTTTCAAGCCGCCAGGTGGGGACTCTAACCGCACAATCAGCTGCGTGGAATCCAGTCGCCCTAACCTCCACGCCACCTGCTGGCCCAGGCAATGGGCAGTTTTGCTGTGTCCTACAGTTCACTGAGGTCAACAGGACAGTGTCCAGAGGTGAGAATGATGCGTATTCTTTTTTTTTTTTTTTTTTTTTTGAGAGATTTTCACTATAGGGCGCGTGCGCTCGCCAGACAGACAGAGAGAGACATAGAGACAGAAAGCGAGAAATCACCCCCCAGGGGGGATGGTCACGCCGCAATCCCTTCTCCTCCATTCTCCTCTCGGGATCTTGGGCACGCACGCACACGCGCCCGGCGTGAGTTTTAAGCCACCGGGTCCGGGACACGAACCGCGGTCGACTACGTGGGAGTCCAGCGACATAGCCATTATGCTAACTGCTGGTTCCCGAGAATGATGCGTATTCTAAGGAAGAGGCACGGGTCCACTTCCAATTACTCTTAGAGAATTCTGCTTTTGGTTTGAGCAGTGTTCTAAGAGTTCGAGTTCTTTTTCCTGATTCCTTTCTTTTTCTTTCTTTTTCTTTCTCTTTCTCTTTCTCTTTCTTTCTTTCTTTCTTTCTTTCTTTCTTTCTTTCTTTCTTTCTTTCTTTCTTTCTTTCTTTCTTTCTTTCTTTCTTTCTTTCTTTCTTTCTTTCTTTCTCCTTTTCTTTTTTTTTTTAACTGCAGGATTCAAACACTGATAATAGAAAGAGAGAGAGACAGAGAGAGACAGGGAGAGGGGAAATAGCCCCCACACCCCATAATGGAGAATGATCATCCCACAATCCCTTCTCCTTCATCTCTCCCTCCTTTTGAGATTTTGAGCACGTATGCACATGCGCACTGTGTGTTTTTTCAAGCTGCCAGGACTGGGATTAAGACTAGAACTGCCCATTTGGCCATGTGAGATCCAGTTTCCTTAAATATCAGAACACAGAACCAGCCTATTTTTTTTTTTAATCTTTTTTTTTTTTGAGAGATTTTTTGCTATAGGGCATATGCACTTGCCAGAAAGACAGAGAGAGACAGAAAGCGAGGAATCAGCTCCTGGGGACATGGCCATGCTGCAATCCCTTCTCCTTCATTCTCCTCTCAGGATCCTGGGCACACACACATGTGCCCAGAGTGAGTTTAAGCCACCGGGTCCAGGACTCGAACTGCTGTCGTCTACATGGGAGTCCAGCGACATAGCCATTACGCCAACTGGTCCCTCTTTATTTATCACTTTTTAAAGCAAACAGTGGGACAGTATTTTGCATAGTGATGGAATAAGAATGATGTAGCCATCTCTCCTTCGGGAGGCATCACAGATAGCTTCCAAAGGGATGTTGGAGCGGGATCTTGAAGTTAAGAGTTTTCCAAGTAGATAGAGTCAGGAAGAGATTCTGAGAGAGAACTGTTAAGGCAGAGCAAACTGTACAGGATGTGCACGTGGCTACGAGTCAAAAAATAGATGGCAAATTAGCACAGAGCAAGTGATTTGGTATGGATAGAACGTAACATGGGGTAGACACAAGTGATAAAGCTTATCATAGTTATGGGGATACCAGAGGGGATTTTGTATGTTACACTCATGTTTGACTTTATCCTATCAGGAACCTTTGAAGAGTTTGAAAATGACATGTATACAGAAGCTCCTTGACTCATGATGGGGTTACGTTCTGATAAACCCATGGTTAGTTGATAATATTTCAACTTGAAAGTGCATTTAATGTGCGTCATCTACTGAACATCATGGTTTAGTCTATGCTCAAAGCTCTTACATTAGCCTATAACTGGGAAAAATCATCTAATGCAAACCTGATTTTATAATGAGATACAGACTGTCTCAGGGCGTTTGTTGAATACTCTAGTAAAAGTGAAAAACAGAATAGTTGTATGGGTATTTGAAGTAGGTTTCTATGGAATGTGTATCACTTGACTACCATAGTAAAGTTAAAATATTGTAAGGCAAAGCTTCATAAATAATCAAATTTGCCTTCCTAAATATCATTCTGGGAGGTGGGGGGTGCGGTGGGGTGGATCACAACCGAAGGAGATAGGAAGCAGGGAGCCCAGGGACAATTTCCTGCAATAATCTAGGGGCGGATGTTGATGGGAACAATGGGGCTGGAGAAGAGTGGACAGATATGGGAATCATTAAGAGTTAATTGGCACAATCTGGGACCAAT